AAACGCTGCACATCCAAACACAAAGTGGACCAGTTACAAAGCTAGTTACCACCATACCAACTCAAGTTGAGTATAATACAAACAAATACCTTAATTCACAATTAAGACAATTTCAAAAKTTAAGGAAACTTCMYCCWGTATCAAACAAAACTYTRGAAGATYAGTATTGTGAAGACTTCTCTAAAGCCACAACTACTCGATCAAATAATGGCCGGTACGTCGTACGACCACTAGAGCCACAATTTTCCAATACCCCACAAATTGGTATAAAAAACAAAGTCAGATTTACCTCTGACAGTCCATGTATTAAAAGAACATACTAATTTTCGGCCCCGCAGTATGGCTTTCACCAATAATGAAAAAAAACACCGAACAAATCCAAGAGCGGTGGCGGGCTACTAAACGCCAAATTAGTGCGCACGCACTGAAACATAAATTATAATATAAAATAGTTGTATCAAAAAGTCGAAAAACCGACACCTTTCATACATTTTCAAAAATAAATAAAATCTCAAAAGTGAGTTAAGGGATCACCATACTCCCAATGCAATCAAGTGACGCACCTWYGCTTACAAAAAGCAAAGGTCGCTCTTATCGCATCTATCCAAGCGCTCATCATATGGGTGCGTTATGGAAATGAAATCAACTATACAAAACTTTAAATTAAGTATAACGAATTATCTACTCTACTAAGCCGTTCTCCATTCACGGTCACCTCACGCAAGATCCCCCTAACTTCGTAGTCCTAACTCAAAGGCTAAAGAGTACCCATTCTGGCCACACATGAGCCAGGCGTGCAGATACTATCCTTCATAAGCCGATTTATTTGACGATAATACAGAAAAACCTAGTAATAAGTGATCCGCAAAATAACTATCAAAGAAACAACCGCTTTAAAAAACTCGTAAATGCGCATTAYATAGTTTCTTATTGTACGCACATAAAATCATATGTACATACCAAATACTAAGTACGAGTATATTTAAAACCAAAGCCGTTTCCAACATTTATATGCAGCAAGTGTTCTGCGCCCTCGGCTACTCTACCAGCAGTACGCCGAAATACAGGCACCAGCATATACGTAATACTAGGCAAAATATTCGMMTAGGGGGCCCAGGATGTTTAAATGACTTAAGCRTCTCCTCGCATGTACTATATACACCACTCTGCCTGGGGAAAACTGGCGTACCCTACGACAACAACACCACACTCAGCTAGCGATCGCCGCAAGACGACACCATACGCCATCAACCTAACAAAAAGGAATTGGACAGGTCAATTCGCTACCTCAATTCGATCTACACAAGCCGCACATAAACAATCGCTTCATACTTTCTCCTCTATACTGCGCCGCGGAATTCCCACCTTTTTTCAGCTATTATGGGATCGGATGAATTTCAAAAATATGTATTTGCTAAAATATCTAATAAAGATACTGCAAATTTATTTCTGTATAGTGAAAGGGGAATTGTTTCCTGGGAAAAGTTAAAATTCGCATTGTTGAAAAAACTTCAAACAGCAACGCACAGCGTTGCAATACACAAACAGTTGACTGAAAGATAAACAAAAAAAAAAAGACGAAAATGTGCAGGATTATTTTTTTAAAATGGGAGAAATCGCATCAAGAGGAAACATTGAGAATGCTACTTTTATCCAGTATGTGATCGGTGGTATAAGAGTTTTAAGTATAAACAAAAGCATTTTGAATGGCGCTCAAGATATGACGGAATTTAAACAAAAACTGAAGATACACGTAATGGTGCGATCGAAAGCAAAAGATAAAGAAAAAGAAATGGCAGAAGATGTTAACAAAGAAATGATGAATTCTGAAGAACGAAGTGTAAATACATTCAGAAAAAACAGTGAATAATGTTGAAGCGAAAGTGGACATTCGTTATAATTGAGGTGTAAAAGGCCTTAAGCCGGATTCACCTTTCTTGTCCGGACAACTTTTGTTGGAAATTTTACACGTTCTTTTCCCACTTTGTCTCAGTGAGAGCGTAAGCAAAATGTGCTGAACTCTCTTTGTTCGAATCAATTTGATGTTGATTTTCTGTAAGGACAACTTGATGATCAGGACTGCCATYACTCATGTTTTTGTAATTTTCAGCCAAATTGGATGTACGATTTGGAATAAAAACTACAAATTTATATATAGGCAACCATGTAAACCATTGTCAGCTGTTGTCATCTTTCATCAAAAGTTCGCAATGTCTTCGCCGGCTGGACAAAGTAATTAAAATTTATTACAATTTATTAAGCCTTTAATTAAAGTCAATCGTTTTCAGATTTTGCGTTGCTCAAAAAGCTTTTTTCAGAAGTGCAAAAGGAAAAGTACACCTTCTTGTATGATCTCAGCCAAAAAGAGTACAAAAATAATAAGCTTAAGCAAATAGCTTGGGGTGAAATCGCGGACGCACTTGAATTGCCAAGTAAGATGCACTATATTTACTAAATAGTTCTTTAATAAGTATGTGTTGATTAATTTTATTATGTAGAGGATGAAGTGCAAGTGCTGTGGAAACGCACCCGAAATAAATTTAAAAACGCGCTTGCCAGCAGTAACGCCCCAAGTGGAAGCGCGAGACGAGTACAAAAGCAGATGGATACTTTTTTGTTATCAGAAATGAGGAGTAAGTTTTGTTGTCCAAAGTAAATTATGTAAGAAACGCGCAGGTATTAAATTTCAACAACTACAAACTACACTGGCATGCAAGAACTTTTTGACGAAATGGCCGGAGATCCTGAAGCCATAAACTCTCCATGGATGAATCTTCATCTACCCCAACATTAAAACGCAAGAAGCCAAAACATGGAACTTTTGACACCGAAATGCAAACAGCCTTGCAAAAACTGAATACCTTAGCATCAGGTATTTTAAGTGCGCCACAGGATCCTTTCTATTTATATTTTCAATCAGAAATGGAAAAATTACCAGAGAATGTCAAATCTGAGCTTAAATCTGAAATAATGCAAACAATATTTCAAGGTTAAAAAAATGTATTTGTAATTTTTGTATTTGTATTTGTATTTTATTTGCTAATCACCAAAATAAAGACAGTTAACTTAGTTTGGAAGTGTTTATTCAAATGCAATTTCATATATTTTCTGGCAAGTTTTTGAAATAATTTGTATACATTCTCCTTACTGCAATAGCATCTTGAGATGCATGGTTACTGTGAGAAGACATCACTGGTTGCAGAAAACTTTGCAAAATGGGTTTCTCTTCGCGTTGTATGTTTTGTAAGTGTACACATACATCATCCGGTGCTGATTTTTCACGAAGCCAATTATGCGGGCAACCGGTGGCCTGCACAATATTTCTTGCGATTTGCTTGCTTGCTATAATTGGTTTCCGGAATATCCGAAAGCGACTGGCCATAATACCAAATGCGTTTTCAACAACTCTTCGCGCTCTAGACAGATGCTTGTTGAAAATACCTTCTTCTTGTGGTAAATTCATGATATTCCGACCTGGATATGGACGCATAATGTTTCTCCGCAAAGAAAAAGCCTCATCCGCTAGAAAAACAAATGGAGCAACTTAATTTGAGTTGGGAAGCAGTTTTCCCTCATCAATTTTCAAATCTGCTAGATGATGGAAAATTTTGTATCCAAACCTACAACTTTTAAATACACCGCCGTCGCTGTTATGTCCCAATGCTCCTATGTCCACCATAATAAATTTGTAATTGGCATCAGCCACTGCCATTAAAATTATACTATGCGTATGTTTATAGTTGTGTGTCRGTGAATTGTGGTTCGGAAACGCCTGAAAATTGGTAAGCGTTAATATCGGAATATATATATGTTTAAATGAGCGTTAAAGCTAATCTTTCTGCTTGTGTTATTCCTTCCTCACTTTTATTCGGTGTGTTCCTCATACTGGGGCCCAATATGTAAAGAAGTTCTTCGAAAGTGTTGGGGTCCATGCAGTGGAAATTTATGAACGTTTTCACATCATTCAATCGAATTTTTGGAATAAGTAGGGTAAAATGCCCTCTTTCGGCCGCTTCAAAAGCATTTTGAGCACACCGCAGCTTCCTCCCCTTCCTTTTCGATTTTGTAACCTTTTCCACCAAATTAGCAAGCACAGATTTTGCATTTCTATGTAGAAGAGTTTAATTAGCTGACATCTCTCCATTGATAAGTACAATTTGTCCACTTAAAGGAATTTTTWTTTGTTTCGTAAAAAATTTTCACCTGTCAAATGACGGATTATCAGCTGTTTACTGCGGTCAAAATAAAATGTGCCGAACGAACGATGAACCGTACTTCAGCACGCTCTCCGACAAAATATTTTAGAGAGAAAATAAAAAGTTGTCCGGACAAGAACGATGAATACGACTTTAAAGGTATTGGTTGTAAAAACAGGGAGAAATGTGTAAAGTGTAATAACTTTGCCCATATGTCGAAAAATTGTCCAAACAAAAACACACAAAGTGGCAAACGTAATTTACAAATTGTTAAAACAAGTAAAGATATTATTGAACATGCTTACTTATCAGCAAAGCCGAAATACTATTAAAAATAAATATATATTTTCAAACCTACATACATACATATAATGTTATGTACTTATGTACATAAACGGCCATATGCAGATCAGATAACATTAAACACACACACTTGTATTGAATTGCACACTTGAAAACAATCCCATATCAAGCAGCACAAACAATATGCTGCAACACATATAAACATATATTTAGTTATTTAAGATAGTTTTATAAAATAGTAGATAAGTAATGAAAATACTAAATAAAAATCAGAATGAATATATTCTCACTCAAACAAAAACCTTTATTTTCCCCCACCAGCGGTAAGAACTTAAAGATTCTTTTTTCAGGTCAATATTTGAGGACACAAATCAAACAATGATGAAAGAACTAGGAATGGAAGATAAGAAGAGTTTTAGGAATTATAGAATCAAACTTTCATTTAGTGGGTTTTGGACAAAAATTAAATGAGAACAAATTGAAACCGATTGGACATTTTGAAAAAAGAGTAGAAATAGACAATAACATTTTAAATTTAAATGTCATTCCAT